CGGCCTGAGCGGGATCAGTCTGACTCAGTCCAGGGCTGAGCATGGGGACTGATGTGGACATGGACACGAGGGCTGGTCCGTCCAGAACACCGCCAATTTGGCTGGGGCCAGAGGCTGTCGTTCCGACACCTGGGCTGGGCCGGGCCATGCTGGGCCACTAGAGCTGGGGCGCGGCAGGGGCAGGCAACTTCTGATACAAATATTTAAGCATTAAAAACCGTCACACAAGCCTGGCCAGTTGGAGCGTCGGTCTGTGGACCAGAGAGTCCCGGGCTTGGTTCGCGCTAGGGGCATATACCAAAAACAAAAAACAAAAAAACCGTCACACAGTAGGGACATTAGAGAAATTGCTGGTGTATGGGAAGCATGAGGACACTCTGGACAAGCGTGGGCTATGACTGTGAACCCAGCTGTGGACAGAGATCCCGGAGATACGCCCCCCAGGGCTCTTACCCCAGGGCAGGCCCTGACTCGACCTCAGGAGCTGTGGGATCTCCAGGCCCTCCCACAGCCGTGCCCACCGACCGGCCGTGCCCACTGGCCAGCTGCACGCTCCCTCTGGCCTCCGCCACCAGGAACACGGCCCAGGTGTTGTCGCTTCCACACCGCCCCTCAGCCAGTTGTTAGGGGAACCCCTCCCTGTGCTCCCAGACACCTGAATGGGTCTCAGTGCTGCACTTCCAGGTAAAGCCCTCAGAGAAGAGGGCCAAGGTACCCCCAAATCTCTGACCAGGCAAGGCCTCAGGGTCCAAAGCAAGTGTGGGTCAGCTGTGGAGGGGACACCCTGACTGCAGGGCTGGCAGCTCCAGACCGAGGCTCCCCTGCGAGGCCCTGCCACCTGTGGTCCCCGTGGGCCCTGCACCTCTGAGCCGGTGGGCGTGCTCACCTCACCAATGTCGCCAGCATGCACCCTTCCGGCCACTCCCAGAGCCAGACCACAGCCTCCCCGCCTCTGCTTTGGGAAACTCCCTAGAACTGGCAGGACCCCTGCCCTACGGCAGAGCACCATCAACATCTCAGGATTCTCTCCCAGAGGAAAGAGACAAAGAAACCGTCCCACCGCTCAGCGGGGGACCACCACCAGCTCAGCCTGCCCAGGGTCTCTGGGGCGGGGCGGGGTCAGGAACATGCAGGAGAGCCCAGATCTCCAAGCAGCCAGCTCGGACTGCACTTCACGCTGTCCCTGGGATGGAGTGACCGGCCTCCGCTGCAGGCCGGGGCCTCAGAGGCAGTGGGAAGGCCTCAGGCCTCTGGGAATCCGGGGACCTGAGGCCCATTAGGGCCTCCCAAAGTCCACCCCACCCAGAAGCTTCAGAGCCCAAACACAGGAACAGTTCGCCCACTGCTCACCGTGGGTCTTGTCACTGCCCCAAACTATGTCCATGATGCCAAGGGGGGGGGGCTGGGGATAAGGGACACCGAGCCTGCCGCGAGGCCCGGGCCAGCCACTGTGCGGTCGCTTCCCCTGGCTCTTCTGCACCACCTGGCTCAGGGGGCCTGCCGCCTCCATGGAGACCTGGAGCAGAGGGATGGGGTCCTACAAGAGCAAGGAGGGGTCACAGTGAGGCATCTTGGGAGGGCAGAAATCCAGCTCCTTTGGCCAACACCAAGAGGAACTGCGCGTGAGGGGACCGGGACCCTCAGGCTTGGCCACGGGACCAAGAGAGGCTGCTTGCCACTCCTGAGCCCTCGTGCAGAGGGCAGTGCCCGGCTACGCGCAGGGATGGCTTTCCCTTGGGGATGCGGGAAGCAGGCACCTGCCCCTGGTTTTCCTGCCGGGGCCCTGTGATCACAGACGAGCAGGCAGAGACCGGGCAGCCAGCTGTGGTGCTCCTCGTCCCAGCAGCTACCACCGGCTCCTCACCCTCCCAGGGGAGAGACACAGGAAGGTCTCAACGAGGGTGTCCCTGGGGGATGTTAAGTGGCCAAGTAAACCAACAGTGCCCAAACTCCAGCTTTTGTCGCCGAGAGTCTGTCCCTGAACCTGTGAAGTGGGTCAGAGGGTGCAGAGGAGGTCAGGACCATGAGGGCAGGAACGTGCCCTGTGGAACCCACAGGACTCTGGCCCCAGCGGGGCAGCTGGCAGCTGTTTCCCAAGCCCAGCTGGAGTGGCCCCTCGTCCAACTCCCCACCCACAAGGCAGTGCACCTCCCGCCCATCTGCCTGCTCGGCGGCATGCCCACCCGGGGCAGAGCATGGCACTCACACATGCTCACCTTCCCCAGCTTCGTCCAGCGTCAGGCCGACCGCTCAGCCTCCTCCTCCTGGGTGGCAAACTCCTGGGCAGGCAGACAGGGGGCAGGTGGGGAGGCCAGGCGGTCAGCCCCCGGGGCCCACGAGGAGCAGGAAGTCCGGGCCCAGGTCCTTCCAGCTGGCAGCCCCTAGGCCAGGACAGAGGGAGGAAGAGGCGCGGGCAGGGGGGCAGTCGGCCGTGCTCATCTGGGTGCTGCAGCACCCACAGATCTTCTGTGGCAGAGAGCCTCACGGGGCTGCCCAGGGGGGCGTGGTCCACTGCTCCAGGGACCAGTGTGCCCCAGTCAGACCCTCTTGCCTTCAGGATGTGGAAGTCAAACCCACAGGCCTCCTGGATGGGGCCTGGGGTGCACGGCCCCGGAGAACTCGTGTCCAGGGTCCCACCAGAGGGCGCGTGGCTGCCACGCCTTCTCCACTCTGAGCTGGAAGAGCAGAGTCCTCACGAGGGCGCTACTTCTCCTCACGGACCCCAGTGCGGCCGGGTGTGGAGGCCCTGGATGGACACCTGGTTGCCCATCCAGTCAGCTTCCCCCCAGACAGCTTGGCACCCCCAGACTTTGCCAAGGTTGCTGGTGTGTGTTCCAGATACACCACACACACAATCACAACTCCACGGTTCACGAGTCACCACAGTCCACACCAGGGACCAGGGGGCAAAGGGAGCGCCAGCCTGGGAGGCCTCCCCTCGGGGTTTCCCACCAGAGGCAGCGGTGTGCACGCAGCCTCAGGAGACCTGCCCCAGGTGAGCACCTGTCTTCCGAAGTGTGAGGAGTGTGACCAGAGGTGGCAGTGCCAGCCTTGTGTCACAAGTGCCAGAGGCAAACGAGGGTGAGTCAAGCAGACCTCCCTCCCCTACGGCCTCTCCACACACAGGCCTCCCCATCTGGGCCCCCGCCAGGGACTCCAGGTGCTGTTCCGGGCAGACCACCCTGTCCCAGGACGCCCAGCTGGCTCCACCCCCTGGAGCTGCGCCTCCTCTCTCAGCACCCTTCAGGGGGCGTCGCCACCACACCAAGCCCGGGACTGGCCGGCCTCCCCTTGTTCGCCAGGCCCCCGAGCCCAGGCAGGGTGGGGTGTCCGGAGCAGCAAGCCCGGGGAAGCCCTCTGAAGCCTGCCCAGCTCCCCGCTCCCTCACCTTGTCCTTGGGAGTGCCCGTGCCAGCACCCACCCCGCCCACAGGGACTGCAGGGCAGCGACAGGGAAGGCCTGTCTCTGTCTCTGTGCTTGCTGCCCGGGCTGATTCTGATCTTGGGCGTGTGGCCCGCAGGGCAGGCAGATGCACTTCGCTCCCGTAGGAACCACAGCTGCAGGGCCAGCTGTGGACTGGGGGGGCAGGACCCCAACCCCGGCCCAGACTCCCAAACCTGGCCTCAGACCCTGTGCGGCCCTGGCTCCGGACCAGACTCTTCCTTGGGAGGTACCAGCCCGACACCCTTGGGGAGGGCGCACCCCCACCAGGGCTCAGAGCTCCCACTGGCTGGAACCTGGAACCAAGCTGTGCTGAGTGACTTGCTCTCCCTGCCACTGACTGGCTGCCACACCCGTCTGTCTATCCCTGTCCCGCCCACTTTTCTTCTTTCGGGGACCATGGAGAACACCCTGCATACACAGGGGCCACTCAAAGCACTGTCGTCAAGCGCAGCCCATTTTCTGCCCGCAGAAACCAGGGGACAGGGCGGTCATCCTGACCCACCTCCTTTCCTCCCAGAGGGAGCGCAGAAAGCAATGTAAGAACTCCTGCTTTGAACTATAACTAGGGTATGAAATCCACCCATCACAGTGAAATCAGAGCTGCATAAAAATAAGTTAATGTCCTAACAATTTTTACCCACAGAAGCACCATTCGTAAAGGCTTCCCTTTATAAGCCCAGAGAGCGTTACCAGCGCAGGGTGACCGGAAGTGGGCCCCTGGCAGGCCACGCCCTGGACAGGACTGGACAGGGGAGCCCCGGGCCCTGACCCTGGGCCTGTGACTCAGGCTTCCTTTTCCATGGCCCTGTTCCACACGATGCTCTCGCCGTGGGCAGGCCCAGGGCACACTCCTGGGGGACAATCAGCCCCTCCTGCCGTCTCCCCCAGAGGGAGAAAGGCTGGGCCAGGTGCGTGCTGTGCAGGGTGGCAGCCTCACCGCCAATCCTGACGGCAACTCCAGAGGATGCTCCCCAGACAGGGCCCAGGAACGGGCGGAGCGAGCAGAGTTGGGGCAGGGCGGGTGTGCCGAGCTGCTGGCACCCAGGAAGCTCTTCGTAGGGCCTGCGGCTTCAGAGCTGAGAGCCAAGGGCGGGGAGGACAGGACACCACAGCCGGAAGCCAGCCTCTCCCAGGCCACCACTCATGGCAGCTGGACCCTCCATCCCCTGCCCATCAGCTCTCCAATGGCCTTAGTCACCGCTCCCCACAGCACCTGTATCAGCAGGGGCATCCCCATGCCCAAGACAGACAGGTGCTCAGGGGCACAGCTCCCAGCCTCAGCCACACTGGGGGCTGGGGGGCTTCTCTGCCTCCCTGGGTCTCACATCACAGCCTCACGGGGAACAGAGTGTCAGGGACTCTTTCTCCACATCTGCAATCATCCCCAGGCCACAGGACACGGAGCCCGCCCGACGGCACCTGCGGTCTCCAGGCAGCCAGGCCCCGGCCAGGGCCGCTGCAGACACCCGCTGGGAGCTGCGGAGGGTGGGCGCCAGCAGCACGGCAGCTGGGGCTGTGGTCCTCGCCTCAGGAGTGGAAAGCAAATGGGTGTGCAGGGCAATTTTATTCAGTTGGAAATCCGTCTGGACAGGGTCCCTCGCCCCTGGTCCTGCCCCGGCTGGAGAGGTCGTCGAAGCTGTGGTGTCCCTGAGCTGGCTGCGTCACGTCACCGTGTACAGCTCCTCCCGGCGGTTCTTGCAGATCTGATAGCGGCAGGTGAGCTTCTGCGAGCAGGCCCAGGGCTCAGTGTGCTTGTCACGCGGCGGCAGCAGGAACGCCGTGCTCCCTGCCAGCAGCATGTGCCAGATGCTGTGCGTGTAGTAGTAGTTGTCACTGGTCATCATGGAGGCGTAGATGGCAATGGCCACAGCGGCCATGGAGATGCCAGGCAGGAGGTAGAAGACCCAGCGCTGCCAGGAGGTGGGGTAGCAGTGGCGCCGGTGCCCGCAGCGGTACACCTGGAGAGAACCACCACGAGGGCATCGCACGGGCTGCGGCTGCGGCTCCCTGGGGCCCACCGGGTCTGGGTAGCAGGCGTGCATGTGCGCTCCCTGGGAGGGGCTCTGGGCAGAGACCTGACTGGTTCTCGGCCTGGGCCGGCAAGAAGCCACCCAGGCCCCGAGTGCCGGCGGCAGGCCTCAGCAAATATGGCGGACTCGGGCTCAGGACCAGGCACGTGGCCAGAATCAGTGGCCAGGCCTCCTTCCAGTGGGGGTCTGCGGGGAGCCAACACTCTCTTATTCCAGTTGCCCGGAGAGGACTCAGGGCAAGAGCTCCTTACCCACATGGTGACCATGACCACGAAGGCAAAGAGACAAGGCCCTATCATGTTCCAGGCGCCCCTGCGGTCCAGCTGCAAGGACATGGCGAACACCAGGGTGCCCAGGAGAAGCAGAACCTGAACAAGACACAGGGGTGACCACAGGGTCACAGGAGCTGCAGGTCAGGGTTGTCCATGACAGCACAAGGCGTCCTGGTCACCCTGCTAACCCCCCTGCCCACCCATCGACGCTGCTGGCACACTGCTCTGCTCCCCTGGCAGGGAGGGAGGCACCCTCCTCCAGGCGCTGACTCGCCTGAGGCACAACGCAGCCAGGCAGGGCACCGGGTCACGTGTCTGTATCAGCCAGACGGGCTGTGGCAGAAAAAGCACCAGTGTTCTCAGCACCAGGGGCTTCAGGGGCACACCTGGGGGCTTCTCGGGGATGTCTGGCTTAGAGTTGGGGCTCCAGGCCTCCTTTCTGAATACAGCCTTGGGAGAGAAAGGGGACGGGAAGGTCCTTGCCTAACCCTGTCTTCCACCCTTCCTTCCCGGAATCCTCCAAGCAGCCAGCACAGTCCCTTCCAGCTGGCCAGGCACCCTCCAGGGGGAGAGCGGGCATTACAAAGATGGGAGGGTTCTCAGGGCAGCAGCTGAACCTCCTGCTCTGTCCCTCAGCACGCGAGGACCTTGCTCCCTCAGAGCCCAGACCGGGCGTCAGGAGGGCACTCACATGTTTCAGGGCTGCCTTCAGCCGCGCCATGCAGAGGATGGTGGCCCAGATGGACACCCCAGAGCCCAGGAAGTCGCAGTACTGCAGTGTGTCGTAGTCCAGGATGCACAGCACGGCCTCCCCCGGCTGGTCGCAGGCGTGATAGAACTGCGGGGAGGGCGTGAGCGAGGACTGGACCTCCCCCATCCCTGCTGGACCTCCCCCATCCCCAGGGGAGCAGGCTGATAGAACCATGGGGCAGGCGGTGAGCCAAGGGCAGGGCGGTGATCTGAGACCCAGACCTTCCCACCACCCCCGAGGGGGCAGGCGTGCTTACCGTGGAGAAGAACATGGTGTAGGTGTAGATGGAGGCCTCCACCAGGAGGCAGCGGTGCACGGAGAGGGTGATGGGAGCCAGGAACAAGAGGTTGCTGAGAGTGAGCAGGAGCGCGGCCACCCTCTGCTGGGCCACGGTCTGTGCTGTGCTGTTGTCTGTGCAGCTCCACCCTCGCCAGCCTGTGGCCAATGCAGTGCTGAGGGGGCTGAGGAGGTGACTGAGGCCAGGCTAGTGGGGCAGGCACTTCTGAACCTCAGGGCCACCCTCACCCATGGCTCTGCAGAGAAGCCTGTCTCACCTTGGAGCAGACTGGGACAGGTGTGGGTAGGTGTGGGGCATGTGTGGGTAGGTATGGGCTAGTGTGGGCAGATGCAGACAGCTATGGGGGCAGGCACGGGCAGGTGTAAAGAGGTGTGGGGCATGTAGAGACGTGAGGCAGGTATGAAGCAGGTATGGAACAAATGTGGGACAGGTGTGTGATGTGTGGGCAGGTGTGGGGCAGGTGTGTGATGTGCAGGCAGGTGTGGGGAAGACGTGTGGGACAGGTGTGGGACAGGTGTGTGATGTGTGGGCAGGTGTGGGGAAGACATATGGGAGAGGTGTGGGACAGGTGTGGGGCAGGTGTGTGATGTGTGGGCAGGTGTGGGGCAGGTGTGAGAGGTGTGGGCAGGTGTGGGGCAGGTGTGTGATGTGTGGGCAGGTGTGGGGAAGACGTGTGGGACAGGTGTGTGATGTGTGGGCAGGTGTGGGGCAGGTGTGAGAGGTGTGGGCAGGTGTGAGAGGTGTGGGCAGGTGTGGGGCAGGTGTGTGATGTGTGGGCAGGTGTGGGGCAGGTGTGTGAGGTGTGGGCAGGTGTGAGAGGTGTGGGCAGGTGTGAGAGGTGGGGCAGGTGTGTGAGGTGTGGCAGGTGTGGGGCAGGTGTGAGAGGTGTGGGCAGGTGTGGGGCAGGTGTGAGAGGTGTGGGCAGGTGTGGGGCAGGTGTGAGAGGTGTGGGCAGGTGTGGACAGGTGTGAGAGGTGTGGGGCAGGTGTGAGAGGTGTGGGCAGGTGTGAGAGGTGTGGGCAGGTGTGGGCAGGTGTGGGGCAGGTGTGTGATGTGTGGGCAGGTGTGGGCAGGTGTGAGAGGTGTGGGCAGGTGTGGGGCAGGTGTGAGAGGTGTGGGCAGGTGTGGGCGGTGTGGGAGGTGTGGCAGGTGTGAGAGGTGTGGGCAGGTGTGGGGCAGGTGTGAGGTGTGGGCAGGTGTGAGAGGTGTGGGCAGGTGTGGGGCAGGTGTGAGAGGTGTGGGCAGGTGTGTGATGTGTGGGCAGGTGTGGGCAGGTGTGAGAGGTGTGGGCAGGTGTGGGCAGGTGTGAGAGGTGTGGGCAGGTGTGAGATGTGTGGGCAGGTGTGGGCAGGTGTGAGAGGTGTGGGCAGGTGTGAGAGGTGTGGGCAGGTGTGGGCAGGTGTGAGAGGTGTGGGCAGGTGTGGGGCAGGTGTGAGAGGTGTGGGCAGGTGTGGGGCAGGTGTGAGAGGTGTGGGCAGGTGTGGGGCAGGTGTGAGAGGTGTGGGCAGGTGTGGGCAGGTGTGAGAGGTGTGGGCAGGTGTGGGCAGGTGTGAGAGGTGTGGGCAGGTGGGGGGCAGGTGTGTGATGTGTGGGCAGGTGTGAGAGGTGTGGGCAGGTGTGGGGCAGGTGTGTGATGTGTGGGCAGGTGTGAGAGGTGTGGGCAGGTGTGGGGCAGGTGTGTGATGTGTGGGCAGGTGTGAGAGGTGTGGGCAGGTGTGGGCAGGTGTGAGAGGTGTGGGCAGGTGTGTGATGTGTGGGCAGGTGTGGGGCAGGTGTGAGAGGTGTGGGCAGGTGTGAGAGGTGTGGGCAGGTGTGGCGCAGGTGTGAGAGGTGTGGGCAGGTGTGGGGCAGGTGTGAGAGGTGTGGGCAGGTGTGGGGCAGGTGTGAGAGGTGTGGGCAGGTGTGAGAGGTGTGGGCAGGTGTGGGGCAGGTGTGAGAGGTGTGGGCAGGTGTGGGCAGGTGTGAGAGGTGTGGGCAGGTGTGGGGCAGGTGTGTGATGTGTGGGCAGGTGTGAGAGGTGTGGGCAGGTGTGGGCAGGTGTGAGAGGTGTGGGCAGGTGTGAGAGGTGTGGGCAGGTGTGGGGCAGGTGTGAGAGGTGTGGGCAGGTGTGAGAGGTGTGGGCAGGTGTGGGGCAGGTGTGAGAGGTGTGGGCAGGTGTGGGCAGGTGTGTGATGTGTGGGCAGGTGTGAGAGGTGTGGGCAGGTGTGGGGCAGGTGTGTGATGTGTGGGCAGGTGTGAGAGGTGTGGGCAGGTGTGGGGCAGGTGTGTGATGTGTGGGCAGGTGTGAGAGGTGTGGGCAGGTGTGAGAAGTGTGGGCAGGTGTGGCGCAGGTGTGGGCAGGTGTGAGAGGTTTGGGCAGGTGTGGGCAGGTGTGAGAGGTGTGGGGCAGGTGTGTGATGTGTGGGCAGGTGTGGGGCAGGTGTGAGAGGTGTGGGCAGGTGTGTGATGTGTGGGCAGGTGTGGGGCAGGTGTGAGAGGTGTGGGGCAGGTGTGAGAGGTGTGGGCAGGTGTGGGCAGGTATGGGACACGTGTGGAAAGGCATGGGTCAAGTTGGGGACACGTCTGTGGTCAGGTATGGGCAGGGGAAGCCAAGGTCAGGAGGCAGTACCAGCGCCGGGGGTGCCTTTCTGCTTATGTGGGAGACCGGAGGTACGCGGCAGGAGTGGGGAGAAGGCAACTGTCCTTGCTCTGCGAGGGTGCTCTCCAGCCCTGGCAGAGTGGGGTGGGCTCTCCGCGGGAGGTGCAGGGTGTGTCGAAGGCGCCCAGGCCTGGCCCTCACCTGCCTTGCAGCTGCAGCCCGCATACAGGTAACCGTGTCTGCGCAGCAGGAGGCACTGGCCGTAAGGCCCACAGTCGTTGAGGCAGGGCACCAAAGACAAGGAGGTCTCCACGAGGACGGAGGCTTTCCCGCACTCCCTGAGAGGAAGGGGCCACAGGAAGGCTGGCTGCCGAGGCCTGCTGGCCAGTCTCTGCCGGAGCTCCAGTCAGGCTCTGGACAATGGACCCAGGCCTGAGGCCCCCAGGCTCTGCGCCCCAGAGGACAGCAGCCGTGAGGTCTGCAGAGGCCAAGACGCCACGTCCCCTTCACACCATGCTGGCATGGCACAGCCTAGAGCTGCGGCCTGAACCAGTCCCCTTCCTTGTGTCCTGGCTCCCAGGGATGCCTGAGGAGGGGCAGCCAAGGGGAGGACAGACCTCCGTAGCTCCCGGAAGGCAACTTACCCTGTGTGGCTTACAGGAAGCTGGGTCACTGTCAAACTCAGAGGCAGGCAGCCCAGCCATGGCCCTGAATGCAGTGATTCGGCCACCCAGCAGCTCTGGGCGGTGCCCCCCTCGCCCCCAGGTTCACTTACTCAGGACTCTGCAGGCATACGAGCTGCAGGGAGAGGTACCAGTTGTCTGTCTCTGGGTAGGGGATGACAAGGTTGGCCCTGCGAGATGAGGTGCTCAGAGACAGGGGATAGCCCTGGAAGAAGGCTGCAGGAGGAGGAGGGCGTGGTGAGGGGGGCTGGGGGCTGGCTGGGTCCCTGGGCCAGACGCTGCCCGCTCTCACCTGTGGTGCAGTTGAGTGAAGAGCTGAAGCCCAGGAAGGGCGAGGCGGCGTTCACGCAGACCACCACCGAGCTGGTGTTGGACATCACGCTCTGAAAGGGATGGCCGTGCCCTGTCAGCCCAGTCCCCAGTCTGATGCTGGGTGCTCTGCGGCTCCCGCTGGCCCAAGGCCGGCCCGGGACCCTTCCCCGCCCGGCCCAGCAGCACCGGCCTCGATCCCACCCGCAGCCCCTTTCCGCAGGCACAGCCCTCAGCCTGCTGACGGGGACCCGTGAACACGTCTCCCCTTCTGCAAGCGGTGCCCTACTCTGGCCCAGTGCTTACTGGGGTCACCTGTTGCCTGAAAGGCCACCCCAACCCAGTGTCCATGACCAAGTCAGTGCAGGAAGACCTGGGCAGCACTGCTCAGCCTGGAGGGCCTGAACCTGAGCTGAGCCGGGCCACGAGGCACCCCCAGACGCAGGTACCTGGTTGGCCCACAGGGAGACGACGAGAGAGCCCCCACTGTCCATGCCCGTGTCCAGCTGCAGCCGCATCACCGAAGGCATGTCTGACTGCACCAGCACTGAGACCCTGTCCAGGGGCCTGAAGTGCACAGACAGCACGTCCATGTACTCCCGGGTGACCTGGTAGCCCCTGAGGCAGAAGGGGCCGCCACCCACACTGCTGCTCCTGCCCAGGTCCTGGTAGCCAGGGCTTGGGGGCAGCAGCCCGGGGGGGACACTGCAGCTCTGGTTTGGACTGTTCTGCTGAAGATGCTGGAAGTTTACTATCCAAGGCTTGCAGGCTGTCAGGAGAACAAGGGGCCCCGCTACAGGAAGGGCTGAGATTGACGGCAGGGGGCAGAGCCTCCCGCGCCCTCCTCACGCAGCCCACCTGTGAGCGCAGCGACAACGTTGAAAGCCACCAGGATATGGGGCCCTGCCAGGCTCTTGGCCGTCACTTGCAACCACTGGTCCCAGGGTGGCGAGGGCAGCAGCAGGTGGCAGGCCTGGGTGGGGCCAGGGCAGGTGAGCACCTTCTGAAAGTTGCTGGGCAGGGTAGCTGAGCCCACGGTGAGCTGCACGGGGCAGCCGAGGCTCCCGTTGGACGCACAGCCCTGCAGCTCCAGCCGCAGCTCCTGGGTGTACTCGGGGACGAAGATTCTGCAGCCAAAAGGAATGACCTCACTCAGGCTCTGGGGCTTCTAATGACGACCCCTCATCGGTCACACTCAGGGTGGTGCCCCACTTCCCAGCACAACCCAAGACCCAGCACCCCACCTTTCTCACTGGCAGTGAGGACAGTGGTACCACCCACTCCATCAAACTAGAGGCAGCCCCCTGAGACCCCCACTCACTTGAGGTAGCTGGGGTGGGAGAGGAGGGTCTGTGGAGAGGGTTTATCGGGCTCCAGGATGGAGACCTCGACTGCCCGCACGACCAGCATGTCAGGCTGGAAGACGTAGGCACAGGTGGGAACAAAGCCCTAGGAAGAGAACGGGGTGGGGGAGGATCAGTCGGCGTGGGATGGGCAGGAGCAAAGCCCAGACCTGGGCGGGGTGGGAGGGCACCGCCAGAGAGCCAAGGCGGGGTGGCTGGTGGGGAGGCAGGGCTGCAGCAGAACCTTGACAAAGTCAGCCCCAAGGGGTAAATGATAGGGACCAGCCATTCCTGCACGAGGTGTCCTGCCCCGCCACCCCTGGAGAGCAGACCCCTCACCTTCACCTCAATCTTCTGAGATGAGGGGGGCAGGTGGGCAGCCACAAACCAGTCCCCAGGTGCTGGGTGGGAGACGTTGATGGAGGCGTTGCTCTGCAGCATCTTGATGAGGAAGGAGGGCTGCATGGAGGTGTTGGCAGGGAAGCTGGTGCCCAGTGGGTTGATGACTGGAGGGGCACCGTAGCGGAAATACCTGGAGGCAGGGAGAGCAGGGCAGGCGTCAGCACGGGCCTGGCCGGGCTGGGCAGGCAGCTGGGCGGGCACCTACACGGTGGTCTCCAGGTTTGCGCACGTGGGGCCGCCGCCCGGGGACACTTGCAGCAGCCAGCGCAGCAGCACGGAGTCCGGGGGCACGCGGAAGTGGAAGAGTCTGGCGCTGCCGTACCAGCTGTAGAAAGACAGCTTCTGCGGGGACTGCGAGTACTGCTCAGATACCAGCCTGAAGTCTGCAGGGAGAAGGCACTGTCAAGCAGACCAGGGGTGCCCCACGGTGCCCCACGTCCACCCTGAGGAGCAGACAGAAATGCAGAGGCCCTCCTGCCTGTGTGGCCCCAGAGAGAAAGGACGAGGGAAGCCATGGTGGGCAGGTCTCGAGCCCCTGGGATGCATGGCACTCCAACTTTGACCTTGGCAAAGCTTACTGTCCCTCTCCAGTCCCCAGCAGTTATCTCTGGCAACTGGTCCCACTTTACAGGTGAGGGAGTTCAGGTCTGGAGCCTGGTCACCTGCTCAGGCCCATGGTGCCCTGGGACACAACTGAACCAAACCCACGTCCCCTCACCCAGAGAGGTGGCGAGCAGAGACCCTGTGGTGGAGACCCCAGGCTGGAAGCCTGGTCACCTGTGAGGACCTGGGACAGCTGGCCCCCATTTCCCGTGGGCCTGTGCCCATGCAAAGTGGCACAGAGATGAGGCAGGGCCCCTGGCAGACTGACTGTCCATGGCCTCACCGGGGGCTCCCCATGCCCCAGTCTCTGCAGTAATTCTCATGCCCCCACTTCTATGCCTGCTCCCCTCCTCTGCACACTCCAAAAGTTTGTCCTCACTGTTCACTCTGCCATACCAGCATCTCCTGGGCCAGCTCTGAGGACATTCTGAGACTCAGCACAGAGGCCCATGCCCCTCGTGGCATGTCCACTGACAAGGGCACAACCTCCGCGGGAGCATGTGTCCAGGCCGACAGTGTAACTGCCTGGCCCAGGGGTGGGTGAGCGTGCCTGCCCAGGACCCTTCTTTTGAACTCCCACAGACTAGGCGTGCTCTGCACTCCCATGGGTAGACAACCAGGCCTGGGGGCCGGCCACAAGGTGCCTGAGCTGGATGGCAGGGATCCTGGCCTTAGTACCAGCCTCATGACCTGGCGTGACCTTGAGTGTCTCTTCCCCTCTCTGGGTCCCAGTATCCTCCAGATTTGGCAGAAGTGCAGAGTACCTTCCTTTGGGTGCTCCTCCTCCAAGTACTTCTAAAAAAAATACACTGTGGACAAGCAGGGTGTGGCCTCACTCTCCTCCCATCCAGGAGCACCTCCCTCTGCCTTGCTGGAAGGAAGAGTTGCTGGCTCACAATCCCAGCAGGCCCTGGGCCCCACCAGTGTGAGCCAGGTGAGCAGCTGGCTCTCCTGCCAGCTTCCTGACCCTTCAGTGGACGGACCTTGATTTAACAGAACCACCCACTTGCAGAGCCAGTCTGAGCTCCAGAGGAGCCCAGCATGTGGACTCGGCAGATGGGCTCACTCAGGGCACTCCAGGCTTTCCAGGTGTCTGCTGGCCACCAGCTCCCACTGAGCAGGTGGTGGCCTGAAGAGGCTGGAAGCCTCTGAACTAGCACAAACTTTCCTCCTAAGGCTCCTGCAGGCCCTGGGATAACATAAGGCCCCAAAATCTAAGTGCTGGGAGGTGAGGCAGGATAGCTCCCCACCCCCATCTCAGGACCCAGGGGCCTTAGAGAAACAGTCAGCCAGAGGGGCACCCAGCCTCCGGAGGTCACCCAGGGGAGGTCACGCTGCACCATGCAGCCCCCTGACCTGACAGGCGAGGCCTCTGGTGCACCAGCCCTGGAGAACCAGCTGGAGGGCACCTGGAAGTTTCAGCAGCTACACAGAGCTAAGCCTGCTCAAGGTCACCCTTAGACCTTGTGTTCTCTCACTCCCAGGGCTGTACAGCCTCCTCCACCCCTAAGCTCTGCAGCCCCATCCCCCTGCCCAAGATGCCCACGCTGTTGTCTTGGTGAACACAGCAGGCCATTAACATATTGGTCTGAGCGGATGTGGAAGTCACATCTCTGATAACAGGGAGTAAGAGCTGTATGTACCCCTGCCCTGTTCCCTAGTCCCCTTCAAGGGCACAGGGTTGTGGAGAGAAGTAAAGCCCAAGCCTGTCCTGGGAATTTGAGTGAGGGCACCTTGTCCTCCACCCTCCGACCAGGACTGGCGCTCGGTGCAGAGACCCCGCACACTGTAGTTCCCAGAAGCCAGGCCTGGGAGGTGAGGGGCTGCCCCAGGTTTCATCTCCATAAACTGCCCATCCACTGACCCCTCACCCCACCCCTACCCCCAGGAAGGAGAAAAAGGAGAAAAAAAAGGGTGGCAGCATCTAATAGAGTAACTGAATCCGGAACCATCTCTAGGAAACCACCTTTCATTTCAAACTTGGAAACCAAAGGCACAGTCTTCAAAGAAATGGGAGCTTGAGGACCAAGATTTCAGAAAAGGAGGACTGGGAGCAGAAAATCAAGGGGGGCTAGTCCCAGGCTGTGCTGGGTAAGCTGCCTGACTGCCTGGGGGCAGAGGAGGGGTGGCATCTGGGCCCTTGCAGTTTGGCCACACAGCCCCCAGGAGTCTCAGGTCCTGGGAGCCCCAGGCAGAACCCCGAAGGGCAGCTCCTCCTGCTGAAGCCACCATCTTGAGTCCCTGAAGGTTGGGGCCTCTCAAGACAGCAGAAATGCAAATGGAGGGAAGCCACCAAAGTACCTGGCCTACCAGGCTCCTGGGGCCACCTGTGTCCCTCCAAGGAGCGAGGCCAGCTGTTGACAGTGACTGCTCTGGGGTTGGGGGTCCCTGTGGGAGGGGTGGCAACATGACAGCCACCTGGGTCCCTTCCCCAGGATCTATGCAACTTTCTCCCAACTCTCAGTCTCCCAGACCGGATGGGGGCTCCCCTGGAATCGCACTACCTAACTCTTCTCTTCGGCGGCCTCGCAGCTGGAGTCCGGTCTGAGTCCCTCGGTCCCCCACCCTCACGTCCCCGCGCGCGGGCGTCGCTCCGACCAGAACGCGACGGAAGGAGGGCGAGCGGGGCGAGGGCGCGCTCCAGGGGCCCACCCGGCGGGACCCGGCCCCAAGGACAAAGGAGGGGGCGAGCACATCCTTCACCCCCCGACCGTTCGCACCAGCAAGGAACTCACCTGGACCCCCAACCCGGGTGGGGACCTGGGCTCCCGGCGCCCCGCCAGGTGAGCGCACAGGTGCCCCCAGGTGAGTCACAATCCCGGCCCCGCCCCCGCCGCGCCCCCTCCCCAGCCGGCGCGCGCCCCCGGATGGCGCCCGCCGCGCTCGCTCACCGCTCTTCCTGCTGTCGCCGGCGGCCGCAGGCGGGGGCCGAGCGAGCAGCGGCAGCAGCAGCAGCAGCGGCCCCGCCACCGCTGCCGCCGCCGCCGCGCCCCCGGTCCTGGGGCCAGCCCGGCCCATCACGGCGCTCGGCGCGGCGCTACTCGGACCGCGACCCCAGCCGCCTGCGCCCGCCGCCGCCGCCGGGGCAGCCCCAGCCGCCACTACGGGCCCCGCCGCCGCCCCGGACTCCCATCGCCCCGGCCGGTCCCAGCCACCGGCGCCCCGGGCACTTCCGCCTGCGAGGCCCCGCCCCGCCCGGCAGCGGCCGGAGAGCGAGCGCCGAGCGCCGGGCGCGGGGAGCGCAGAACCGCGGACGGGACCCGAAGGGGGACGCGGGCGGGGTGCGCGGCGCGGGGCTGGCAGCCGGCGCGGCGCGGCGCGGAGTCAGGGGCGACGCGGGCCGGACGACGGAGGGGCAGGGGAGGTGGCGACGCGGGGCTGCGTGGGGGAGGGGAGGGGAGCAGACGCGGTCCCGCGCCGACCTGGGGTGGGGGTGCCCGAGGAAAGTGGGGCAGGGGAGGTCGCGTACTGAGCGGCCCGCGCGCAGGAGGCAGGATGCGGGGCGGGATGGACCCAGCGTCACGCGGTGCGCACGGGGCACGGGACAGCGGCAGGAACGGGAACGCGCGGGCGATTCCGGGCGCCAGGGGCGGACAACGCGCGGAGAACCCCGGATGCTTCCTGGAGGCGCTGGGTGGTCCCACGGGACGCGAGTGTTTGTGGGTTCACAGAATCGTGGGCCAGGCGCCGGCAGGCGGGCCCCAGGGGCGCTGGCAGAGACCCCCCCATATGCGGAGTCCCGCACCCATTTCTGCCTCCTGCGCGGGCCGGGCGCGCACCCCGCCGGACTCCCTGGCCGTCACTACAAACCCGCTGTGAGTGTGTGAAAACACAGAAGGCCCCGTGGACGTGTGAGTGGGATTAACTCCTCACCCTTTACACCGGGATCCCAAACACTAAGGATTTAAGCATAAATGGGAAACGGTCAGGAACGAGAAGAAAACTTGGGTACGTTTTTTAGAGTTGTGGGGAAGCTAAGGCATTTCTAAAAATGACCCCAAACTCAGAAGTCTTCAGAGGCAAGAGAGGAAAATTCGACTTGGTGAAAATGTTTTCTGTAGAGCAAAAGTACCTAAGTGAAGTAAAATAAATAAATAAAAAATTAAAAAGCCATAGACGAGAGGGCATGTTGCACCTTGTATTACAAAGGGCCAATCTTAATAAGATTAATAATAAAGAGCTTCTACAAATCAGTGAGAAAATACCCACCCTTGAGTACAAACTAAGACTTCCTGGAAAGGAAATGCAAATGAGCAGGAACCGGCTCCACCTCCCTCCCTCCTTAGAATTTGAAATGCAAATTAAAGAGCATCCAGACATATGTTTTCCTTTCACCTAACACGTCTGCAAAGATCAGAAAGGTTGATTTAACCTGAAGGGTGAGAGTGTGAGCCAACATTCTCATGTTTAGTGAGCCCCGGGGAAGCCTCCGGACTCTGATTACTCACCTGGCCCCAGGTGTGGCACCGCCATGCATTTTCCCTGTGGAGACAGACATTCAGTTCACCACATCTTGGCCATGAGGGGATGGGGCACTAGATTCATGGGTGCCCATACACTGACTCGAACACTATTATCACAGAACGACTGCAGAAGGAAACTGGGAAGCTCTGTACTGGGGTTGGAACTGGTCTCCCAGATTTACCTTTAGCTCAGAAAAGGGAAGGGCAGAACTGTGTGTTCAGAAAGCTACCGCTTTTGTAGGAAATTTAAACAAAACTATTTGCATGTTTCAAAGGCACGGCATGACTGGAAGTGTCCGCAGCAAGGGCACAGATTTACCCTGGAGGAGGGAACCAGGTGGCTCAGCATGATGCGGGTGCTATACTTGTCTGTACCTTTTGAACTATACTGGTTGGGGGGAGGGGGGTTCACTAGAGGGGAGTGAGGAGAAGCTGACCCACCAAGCCCAAGGCCACTGAAGGCTAGTGAAGGCAGGGGGAGGATAGAGGGCGGAGGCCTAGGGAGGAAGGAAGCCAGAGGTGTTTTCTAAAGACCCTCTGCTCCTTTGGAATCCTGAATGGGTCCTCTGCCCCCTGCAGCATGGGGGTGGGATGGGGGTGCTCCTACTGTTCTGGGACGGAGATCAGTTCTGGGTTTTGCTGAGCTGTGATTTTAGTGAACTACACTGACCCAGTTATGCTGGGAGCAGCAGCTGTGGTCAGCACCAGGGACTATTCCATCCAAGACCCACCCCTTGCTCCAGGCTGGGCTCAGAGGCCCCTCACCAGCCCCCATTACTCCAAGGGCCTCCCCTGAGTGTGCCACCTCTGTATGAGTTCCCTACCAGGTAGGATGGGAGACAGCAGACCCCCGCCACCGCCCCAGTGCTCCATCTAGGGGGCTGGTTAACTTGTAGATGGACAAGGAGCCCTAGACTGGAGTCCGAAGACCGTTGCTAAGTAACAGCATTAGCAATGGAAAGAACTCTTGAATCTACCTTGAGGAACTTTGTTTTCAAGATGAGAAATGGGCCCAGCGACTGGAGGGCTTTGTCTGGAGGCTTTGGCATATACATAGTCCTGTATTCTATCACAGCATATGGAGAGAGGAAGTCCAACTAGATCAGGTGGTCAGCTGGCAAGATTAAAATGTTTAAGAGGAAACTTTGGACACATCCCTAAATATGGAGATGGGACAGGAAACTGGGAAACCATGGAGGAAAAGTGCCTTATTTGACTACATTTTTAAAAATGTTATGTGAGACAGGCCAGTAATCCAGGACAGGTGGAACAGGGAAACAGAGAGCTGAACAGACTGGCAGAGCAATTTACAGCAGACACAGGTCACCTCCCTAGAGATAACATCTGGGCCTCAGTTGCATTTCAGCTCCAGACCCCAAAAGCAGCAAAAACAGGTGGGTGACACCAAGACCATCTACAATGTCTAATGACCCCCTGCCCTGGTCTGACCAATCAGTGAGGACCCCGACCCTGAAGAAGCACCCAGAAAACTGACGACTGTTCTGCTGAAACCCTCCGCTGAGACTCCCCCTAAGATTTCTGCCTGCAGGAGAGAAATAAAAGCCTCAAGACAAAGGACCCAGCGCTCTCTCTCCTTCCCAGGAGCATGCGTCCCCCTTCCTTCCCCCATAGGCAGCATCTCCTAGATTCTAAGGGACCCCTGAGGCTTACAACCAGGGCAGCAATGGGCAGTGACAGTTCATCGATGCAAACCTCGAAACCTGTCCCCAAGGCCCCCTTTTCTCTGACTCAGTGAGCCAAAGCGGACCAGCCTAGGCTCATGTCCCAGCCCTTCCTTGTTTAATTGTCCACAACTTTAACGCACATCCTCTAAAGTTCACCTGGACTCGTGCTGTGCAACTTTTCCTGCAGAAAGTCAAGAACCCACAGACTCCTGGCCGGCCCTAGGCAGACCGCCAAGGGCCAGGTCCCCTTTCTGGTAAGGTAAGTATAAAAAGTATGAAAGTAAAAAGCAGGATAAAAGTCACCAGTCAAGCCAAAAAGCAAATGGAAGAAAATATGTGCTATGTATATGATAAAGGATTAATATATTTAAGATACAAAGGAAACAGATACATTGAAAAAAGACCCCAAAGAAAAACCAGCACGGGACACACAAAGCGGTCATGGACCAGAAGTCGAGGAGAGCTGCAGATGGCATGGACATGTGAAGTGCTCAGTTGCGCGTGTTTTGATGCGAAGTAAAGCGATACCTTGCCCAAAGCAGCGGAGGCAGCCCTGCCCTCTCAGGACGTGGCACCCGCACCTGGCTGTAGGAATGAGAACTCCCCAGCTCTCAGCTCTTTGAAGGTTACTGTGACGACATTAAAATGAATGGGAAACAAAGACCTAAGGACAAACATGGCATTGGCTGAGGTGTTTGTAGTTGTGACAGGCCAGTGAGCCAGGACAAGTGGAATGGGGAAACAGATCGCTGGACAAACTGGCTGAGAAAAATACAGATGGGTATAGAAGGTTTCCAGGGTGGAGCTTCCCGGGTGCCTAGCAACAAGCACCTCGCCCCCAGGTGGCCCTTCCTCTCCGGCACATCACAGCCATGTGGTTCCAACCCTCCCCTGACCTTCCCTCTCTAGAGATGACATCCAGGCCTCAGTTGTATTTCAACTCCAGGCCCAGAAAAGCAGCAAAACCATTCTGGGGACACCGGGGCCCACTGCAGTGACTAATGACCCCAGATGCTGACCAATCCTTAGAGAATACAAGCCTGGAAGGGCACACCTAGAAAAGCTGATGAATATTCCACTGAGACCCTTCCCTAAGCCCTCCCCTACACCTCCTGCCTTGAAAACCCTCCCAGCAGGTACTCTCCTTCCCAGGAGCCCACCCTCACCTTTCCCTTCCCCACAGCCTGAATCTCCGAAACTCTGAGACTTGCAACCTAGGGGGCAACGGGCAGCAGCAGCTGCTCCAGGGCTGCCCCAACCTGCTCCCAGAACCCCCTTTCTCTGACTCCAGTAGCTCTGCCTTGACTCATCTTCCTGGTAAGGTTTCTGGGAGCAAAGCAGTGCTCCTGTTGCTGCTTCTGTCCTGGGCCCTTATTTCACTGTCTGCTTTTTTTTTTTTATCCTCACCTGAGGACATTTTTCCATTTTTTGTTCAGGTAGAGTGGGAGGGAGAGAGAGGAACAGAGACAGAGAGAAACATCGATGTGAAGGGACACATCGAGTGGCTGCCACCTGCACGACCGACCAGGGCCGGGGCCAAACTGCAACCGAGGTACGTGCCCTTAGCGGGAACCGAACCCGGGTCTCTCAGGACCGCAGGCCGACGCTCCAACTGCTGAACCAAACCGGCCAGGGCTCACTGTCCGCTTTAATAAACACTCTCAGAACCACCTGGACTCATTCTGTGAAATCTTTCCTGCACGAAGCCAAGAACCCACACGCCACAACCTGGCCCAAGGCCGACCCGCTCCAGCCCTGCCCTGTCTGGTAGCAGCTGTGTGCTGGGACCGTGGGCCAGGCAGAAGCCCTGGGTGCCGAGCGGACAGAGCTGGGAAAACAAGGACTTTGACCCCAGAGGACCTTTCCTCCC